TGGAGGCGGGTGAGTGCACCCAGCCAGCCCCCATGGCACCAGGAGCGCCTGGGGGCCCGCAGGCGGCTGTGCCCTGGCCACCGGGCTGTCAGCCCTGCTGGTGATCAGTGCCTCCCTTCCAGAGCTGAAGGACCTGAACAGCTCCATGACAACCTCTGAGATGGCCAGGGAGGTCGAGGAGTTGAGGAAGGACTGTGCGAGTTACACAGAGAAACTGGAGAGGATTAAGTCTGCCACCAACCACGTGACTCCGGAAGAAAAAGAGAAGGTGAAAAGCTGCCTGGGGCTGAGCCAAGCATCAGCAGCAGAGCCCGGGCCAGGGCTGGGCCAGTCGTACCAATCTTCTGCCAGGTTACCTGGTTCCCAGTGCAACTGACAGCGGTACAACGGAGGGAGGGGGTTTTGTGGGACCCAGGCTGCTCCACAGAGCCCGTGCCAAGCCTCAGCTGTGTGCACGATGGTGACCAGCTGCTGCCCGGTTTATTCTCACTTTGTCTTGCTGTTTGCAGGTTTGTAGCGAGCAGAAGCTGTACTGCAAGGAGTGGCGGAGGAGGAAGCGAATGGTAACGGTCGAGCGGGAGCGGGTGGGCAGCATCTTGGTGGTGGTGGTGGTACAGTCCTGCAGTGACACTGGCACTCTGACAGGGATGTGGGGATTGCTGGGCAGCTCGGGGAGCAGCCCCTGTCCCAGCTGAGTGCCTTCCTGCCACTGGTTGAGAAGACCTCAGGTGAATGCTGTAGCTGTGGAGCAGGGAGTGCTGCAGCAGCTGAGCTCGGTGCCGCCCCCGGGGCTGCATGGGTGCCAAGGTGATCCCCTGGGAGAAGGCCATGTCGCTGCAATGCCCAAATGTCTGGGTCTCTGCAGATCTCTGCCTGTCCACGGGAAACAAACCAGACTTTCCTGTCATTAAGAGTGAGCTGCTCCCACACTGTCACCTGAGCTGTGCTGGCTTGTGACACCAGTATGGGGGACAGTCCCCGAGAGCTGTAGTGGGGCTGCCCGGTGCAGCCGCCCTGCAGCCCTCCCCGTGCCCCTGTCTTACCAGGCGACCGAGCTGCTGGAGGCCATCCTGGAGGGGTACCCCAAAAGCAAGAAGCAATTCTTTGTAAGTACCAAGGCGGGGCTCTGCCCCATGGCCCCACGGCGGTGGCAGTGGTGGCACTCCCTGCGCTGCCGGACTGGAGCAGCCGCCCTGCTGAGACACCCTGTGCTTGTACAGGAGGAGGTCGGGATAGAGACAGACGAGGACCATAATGTCACGCTGCCGGTGGCTGTGTGAGGCGCTGGGGGAGTCTTTGTGCCAGGCAGGAGAAGGAGCTGATGCTGAAACTCAACTGTTGGATTGGGGTTTTTTTCCTCTTTTTGCAGGGCTTGGGCTTGTCCTGCATAGTTATATGCGTTTGTTCTAAAATGCTTTGCAGCTGGAAGGGCGGTTGGAGTGAGTGACTGTGCACTGGGCCCTCCCGCCATCTCTGTTGCAGAGGGAACGTTATTTCTTCCTGCCCTTCAGTGCAGTGAGCTGCTGAGGTCGGCTGTCCCCACGGGGCTGTGGGGAAGGTGTCAGTGCGCTGTTGCTAGTGTCCCTGGTGTTCCACTAAGAAAAAGAAGCAAGCACCTCAGGGGGGCGAATGAACTAGTGACTTACTGCTGCTGAGCTCTCTCTGTATTTGAACTACTGCCCACAGTGTGACTGAAGGGTACAGGAGAATATGACCCATTAAACACCAGGCTTTTGGTTCAGCTGTGCTTTGCTGTGGTGTTTTCTCTGTTCAGAGGGTGTCGGGGCAGGGCTTGGGCTCCCAGGGGTGGGGAAGGCAACAGCCAGGAGAGGGTAACCTCAGCCACCATGGCTGAGCTGGGCTTCCAGAAACCACCAGTCTATCTCTGACCAGCTCTAGGGGAAGGCTCCAGGAACTCAGTAACAGAAATAAAAACAGAAAAATCATTAAAACATTCAGCAAAATTTATTTAATTATTTTTCACAATAGAAAAATATGTTGCTTTCACGTGTGAGGTCTGTAAAACTCCACGTCCTCCTCCCAAGGCAGGAGGCAGCTTCTGGCAGAGCAGCTCTGGGGGCTCAGCCTGACAGCAACATCTTCCAGGTGAGACACAGCTGACCCCGTGTGTGCTTTATCGGTGCTGAGCATCACCACAGGGTTACGCTCTGGGGCTTCCATTGCATTGCATTGAAAAGGACACCCAAACGCTGGGGTTGAAGAATAATTTCATATAAAAATCAACCACTGAATGGGTTTTTCAGCTACTAAATGCGGGTAGAAGCAGTAGCTTAAACATTCTCGTGCTGCAGCGTTCAAACCACGTACCTCATTGACGGTGGAAAAACAGTGTAAAATAAAGCTCTGCTACCCCCGGAGTGGGAGCAGGAACGTGAGTACAGAGACCAAATCCTGCTGGTGATGTCACCACACTGGAGCAGCCCCGGTACAATCGCTCTGTGCAGTGACCAGCCCCTGCTGGGGCAGCAGTGACACTGCTGCGAAGCGTCTCTGCTGGCCAGAGCCGTGAAGCAGTGTGTGACAGGGTAAAGAGCATCTGTCTGCAAAACTGACACTGCTAATACTTCAGGATGATTTCAGTGATTTATAAAAACAAAAATAAAATCAAATCAAGACTGGTTATGTATATGTGTGTGTATATTTAAGTTCTAAGGAGGAGCAGTGAGAGCTCGTGGCAGCACTGCGGTACAGCTACTGTTCAGTAGTGTCCCTGTTCAGTACGGCCACATCAAAACCCGAAGGCAGATGAAGCCCAACACACTTCAGCGCTCACTCAGGAAAAGCCTGCACAGAAAGCTCACTTCCATTTCCCTTTCAGGGGACTATGGCTACAGCGAAGAGGTCAGGTTTTAGCAAGTCCCTGGTGCACGTCGCCAGCTCTGCACCATCCTGGCAGCGACATCAGCCAGCTCTGCCAGGCTTCCCCAAAGCAGCTACACAACTTAAAAAAAAAACATGCCCTGTAAGAGCTGCGTCAGAGGGAGGTACGAGAAAGCCCCCAGTTAGGGGAGAAGCCTATTCCTAGTCTGTTTTAACAGAAACCAACAGCTTTTAGCATGCATTCTTGTTTCATTCCCCTCCCCGGGATCAGAAGGGGTTGTATCAGCGGCCTGCAGCTACAGAGCAGATCTGCTGCACAGTGGAGAGTCAGTGGCACAGGCGAACCCCACAGTGCCGCATCTGCCTGAGCTAAAGACTCTCTGGCACCTTAAAAGGCCTCTACTCAATACACACTATTTTTCCCCTTTTGCCAAGTCCCTACAAATATTTGGTAATATCGACTGTGACAGCACCTGTGGAGCAGCGGTGTCTGCACAGCCTCATTTTGGTTTTGTAGTTAATACAATAAATAATTCAGAGAAGCTTTACCAACAGCCACGTGGGAGGTGGCCCAGCCCTTCCTGGTGCCCGTCACCCGGGTCCCCGGGCAGGAGGTGCCCCGACCCCGTGGTCATGGAGGCGGCGGCAGCCCCGGAGCTGCTGGCGCTGTAGGGAAGGCTCAGTAGAGCTGACTCTTGAGTTGGTGCAGGACCCCGATCACGATGTCCCGCAGCGTCTAAGGCAGAGAGGAGACATGGTCAGTTGTTCCAGGGGAGGAACAGCCTGTCCCCGGTCAGCAACTCCTGCAAGAGCCCGGGGCATGTGCCGCGGGCACCCCCTTGGTCACAGCCCTGGGGCTGGCACGGGCAGTGCCAAACACTGCGACACCTGCATGGGAAACGCTCCCACTGCTGTTCCTGGGCTGCAGCAGGGCAGGGACCTGGCCCTGCCTGAGTGCCTCCCCCCCTCAGAGGTTGCTTAATTCCCAGAAAACCTTTATGTGTCCTGAGAGAGTGATGGGGACCAAACAGGACTCTCCTGCTGAACTCTCCCGCTGAACTTTGTTTCACCCTGGCCAGCTTTCAGCACGAAACCAGTAGAGCAGCTGGAGTGGGAGAGGGTGGAGCTCGGGAACTTTCTTCTGTCCCCGCACCTTGCCCCAGTCTAGCACCAGTCACACACTGCCCTTTTGGAAGCCCCAGGAGAGGGGACAGCCGTGCCCAGTCCTGCACTGGGTGCAGACATGCACAATGGTCTCTGCCCCATTTCCCTCTGCCATTGCAACAGCCCTCCCACGGCTCCTGCACCCACCTGGGGCTTGCAGTGCTCCTCAATCCAGCTGAAGACACAAGCCGAGAGCTCCTGAAAACTCGTTACTGAGATGGAGGCGTTAAAGGACTGGAACAGGGAATCCATGATGCCTTGGAAAACATTGAACTTCACCTCGTCAGTGACCTGGTCCTTGCCCTCGCTTGGGTTGTCCTGATGAGCTTTCACAATCTGCTCGTAGTTCCTGAAATAAACCAAGTGTCCTGTGAGGCCTCCCACGCCCGGCTGCTGCAGCAACGGGGAGGACCAAGATCCCACAAACACTGGGAAGTTGCGGCCGCTGCTGACACCAGAAGCAGATTCATTTTCTGAATCAGATCCACCTTCACACTAAACTCCACCAACTGACCCGAGACAGACCCACACTAATGAGCTGCTGGAGGAGAAACGGTGACAGTCAGGGACAGGTTTGGTACTCCAGGTGCCAGGCTGCCTGTAAAGCACTGAGTGCATCATGGAGCCTTGCAAGGGCAGGGGGGAAAACAGCAGGAAGAAGAGGGCAGCCCCCCAACCCCTCTTCCCTTACACTTTCATGATCTTCAAGGCCATCGCGTCTTTCCTGAGCGTAGAAACTTCCTCCTCTTGCTTCTTCTTTTCCTTGTGCAGGAACTGGATGTAGTCAATGGCTGCGCATGAAAACACAGAGTGAAGATTTGAGAGTGGACACAAGTCCCCAAGAGCCCCACAGAAGGTGACAGACGATGCCCTGAGGTACCCGCACCTGGGCAGCATGAGGTCCCAGCTGCCCTGATTCTCCCTGGGGATGTGGGTGGAGGTGGCCAGCACCTGGGCTCACACAGAGCATTGTCACACCAGAAGGTCCCCAAATGCTGAACCTCTGCCCTGCGTGGTTCTAGCAAGGCGTTTTGGGGCTTGATAGTACCCTCTACCCTCTCCCCACCCTTAAGACTCACTTTTCTGGAGGATGATGGCCTTGCTCAGCTTCTGGGAGCCTATGCAGAAATCCTGCTGCTCACAGGTGGGAACGATGGCCTGCAAGTCATCGTAGCCTTTCTGTAGGGAACAGAGCCACAGCTCAGGTGTTTGGAGTTCAGCAGTCTGAGACTCATCGTTTCAAAACGTGTCAGATCCCAAATCCCAGCTCCCACCACACAGCCAGCCAGAGCTGAGCTGGCTCCCAGCACGCTGCTCTCTGGGGAGGGTAGATCCAGCAGTGAAACAAAGGAGGACGGTGCCAAGAACAGCAGGGTGCTGCAGGGCCCTGTGAACCTCTGCGCTCTGACAGCACACGCAGCCTCTCAGGTTACCTTGATGGCGCCTCGCCTCTTCTGCTCCGCCTGGGTGTGCGCCCGCCTGCGCCGGTCCTTGTACGACTCCTTGTAGGGCTCCTGGTGATAATCGCTGTCCTCATCATCTGCGTGGAGAGAACTTCTGTAAGTGTGAAAAAGGCTGACGGGCGAGCTCCTGACGTGTAGGGGGGCAGAGGCGCACAGAAGAGCGACAGCTCAAGGTACCAGCTGGGCGCTGGGGGCCATGGTCAGGCCCAGGACAGCCCCGAGCCCCAGGGCGGCAGTCAGCTCCAGCAGGTCAAGGGACAAGGACAAATGCTCCAAGGGGCACTGCCAACCCTCTCCTTGTGGAGCTGGGCAGGAGGAAGATGCCAGCAGCCCCCTTGGGAAGGTGTCAAAACCTGACCAAGTCCCTCCTCCAAACACTGCTGGAAACCACAATGCCCTGATGCCGTTCCCCACCATCCTCCCCTCCCTCCTAAGAGTGGGAGTCTTGCCCAGCTGGCAGGGGAGGCAGCTGCGCTCGCCCCCTCGGCACAGGGGTGAGAGCTGGAAGCCCCGCCACGTGCTGGGCAGCCCAGTGAGCAGGAAGACCCACGGCCACAGAGGACAAACCTCACAGGCCTACCTGTATTGGGGACAGAAGAGGCGCTGGTGGAGCCGATGCTGTTGGCTCGTGACACTATGCTGCCTTTCCTCGCGTTCTCCATGAAGAGCGCTGGAAGGAGGTTTCACACAGTAAGTGAC